CCTCAGAAGATGGTGCCCTAGGTAGACTTGATGATATCTGATTGGTTGGTCCCACCTCCTCTAGTTGCTTGGACCCACCTCCTCTGCAATCTGATTAGTTATCTCTCTGAACCAATCATATTTCCTTCTGCTCTCAGAATATTTTGAGAGTTACTAGTAAACCTGATAGGTTGTCTGGCACTGTGCGGTAATGCGCTTGGCAAACTCAGAAACTGATTATGAATCTGAAGTACATAAAACGGACAGTATTTCGGATCAAAACGTAGGGAAAGCTTCAAGGGTCAGCACGACAATGCAAGATTAATAGAGAGAAAGTTATGATGATGTTCAAAGCTTCTTTTAAGCACTACTGGGCCAGGCAGGGGGAAAATAAGGGTCAAATTTAGAAATGGAAGAACAAAGAGGTAGAGTAGACAGCCGTGAGGGGTTAGTGAATAAGATGGAGGCTAGGAATGGATGGAAGATTTCAGATCAAAACAAAGGGGAGTGGAGGGGCGACCCTCAGAGTAGGCAGGAGTGCGGCTTCGTTTTCAGAGGAGATGGGAAGCTGAGGAAATGGGAGGAGAGCAAAGGGAAGGAGGAGGAGGTGTAAGCAGGAACCGAAAGTGATGGGTATCTGAAGCGGAAGATGAAAGGGCAGAATGTCACCGTGAAGAAAGGAGAGAGTGACCGTGACATTATGGGTGACGACTGCGACAAAGTGGTTAACACTTTGCATGAGTTAATATGAAAGAAAGAAAAAAAACAAGTTAGAGGTTAATGGCGTTCGACACATCCTGGCTGATGGGAAACTGGACGAGGTTAGTGCTTATGTTAGGTGAATGATGGGCAACAGGAAAACCTGCACTAATGTGGCAGGCAGCTTGATGGTCAGATTTAAAAATATATGTATGTCCTTTTCCTCCAGCAAGTCAGATCTAGGTGGGGAACCACTAATGAATAGAGAGGTAGAAGGAGACCATCCATCCATCCATCCATACATCTTCTGTACCTGCTTGTCCTGTGCAGGTCATGGGGTTCTGGAGCTTATGCCAGAAGCTATGGGTGCAAGGCGGGGAACCCAGGATGGGGTGCCAACCCATCGCAGAGCTCATTCGCCATCTGGCAACTCCAGTTCACTACAGCATTGTTTTTGCACTATGGGGGGAATCCGGTGGAAACCCCACGATGACGGGGGAGAGCATGCAAACTCCACACACATGGAGCCAGGGTAGATACTCAAACCCAGGTCCTAGAGGTATGAGGCACCAAGGCTCACCACCTTCACCACCACTGTGTTAAGAAGAAAAAAAAACTATAAACACACGCAACAGATTTCAGAAGCGATTTCTGACCCATCTGCAGGTTTAACTACATGTGATTCTTCAGAAAACAGAAATGAGATGTACATAAAAACAAACAGAAAAAAGTCCTACTTACTAAATAGAAGGACCATAAAACAGACACCCTATTGCCCCGATATCATAATATTCTGCCATGAGGAGGAGATGTGGTCCTCGAGGTTCTGCCATCCAGTCAGACCTCGCGGTTCTGCATTCTGGTGCCCGTTTCCGGCTCCGACCGGTGATCCTGCGGCAACGGTGCTAGCTGTTCTTAAAGTCTGCAATCAGCTTCCTCCGGTCTGGGCGTCCGGCCCGTCACTCGGCCCCGGCCTGCCGTTCTGTTCGGCGCCATCGCTGGAATCAGAGGGGATTGCATGCATGCCTGCGTGGCAGATGGCCCCATTGATTGTGCTGAGTCGCATCTTCAGCGTAAAAACGCCACGGCAGATTTTAACAAGACGGATCCCCAAGTGACGAGATCCGATGTGTTGGTTTACATCTACAGCGTGCTGGAAAGACAAGCACCCTCATAGTTATTGATTGCAGGAGTTAAAACTCAGCAGGGATGCTTCAATACAATCGCAAGTGTAAATAAGCATTTAAACCTCATTTGCTGTGATGTTGAAATTATTCTGTCTCACGTCTCCTTCCAACACACCTTTTTGATACTGTGGGCTCTCCTGCACCTGTACATAAATCATAAAACGTTTATTTCCTTTCCTGTGCATTTATTTTTTTGTTTGTTTGCCTATATTGAGACAAACACAGCATTGTTTTACTTTTTTCCCCAACTGAGCAAATTAAGAAAACCTAATTAAAATTGAACACAATCGCATATTGAGTCCCTTCAGTTAAATGAAGACATTTTTAGACTGATTCTATCGCTTACACTTCTGGCAGAGCACATGATACGTGTGGAAAAAAACAGATTGCAGATCATTTGTCTGCTCTTGTACTGTAGGAGTGAATGTCTGTCGCTCAATATTTACCAGAAACTCTCGTTTGATAATTCAGAACGACCAGGCAACCCTACCACTTCTTTATTTCCATAGTTAAATTAGATGATGATAAAATTTTGAAGTATAAGGAAAGTAGAATGAATTACATGAAGCAGGCATTTTGTGGATCTGACAGTTCCTTTTCCCTGCATGAAAAGATCACTTCAGACCTCTTTCAAATAAAGTGTTTTGAGAGGCCATGACTTGTTTTTCTATTGTGCATCCTTGAATTATGACCGAAAAGTGTAGCTATGGTGCAATGGAATTAATTATTCCTTATTCACTGAAAGTATTGTAACAGTAATTAACACACAACAGCTACCTTTCATGAAAGGTCACAGTCCAGCTCTGATCTTTCGGCGCAGTTTCCTGTTTTTCTTATGCAGCCTGTTTTATGCCCTTTGCTGTTCCGGGTTGTAATGCACTGCAGAAATCTGAATTTCAAATGTTGAATCATATTTTACAGCAGTTGTAATGTTTTTGTTTTAACGGTTCTGTTAGAATTGAACTGTAACATCTGTTAATCATTCAGATGTGTTATATGAAAGTGTAAAATGATTAATGTTACTGTGTACTGCTGTCAGTATTGGATAAGTGTTACTTTGTATTGGAATTAGTTATCAATGTGAAAGCTGGTCATATCTGCAGCATATGACACAAAAATGCAATAAATATCTTCAAGTAAATTTAGAGATTTTGTGCCTTTTAAACAAGCAAACTAACGCTGACTCAATGAAGGCGATGACGCCAAACAGACATCTGTAGCCACAGGCAAAGAAGAAACTTTTCTATGAATAAAAAATGTGGATTTTGGAAATGAACAATGATTAAAAACGCAAAAGGCAGGCAGAAGCACAGCATTACAAGCTGAGCTCTTAGGCCGTCTTTGAATTAATTGCATGTGTTAATTAAGGTAAGAAAGGGAAGTCCTGTAACTCGTTAAACTTGTAACTGTTCAGCTGCAATTAATAACATGCATTTTGTTTGCCTGTTGGCTAAGCTGATTATTCATTACATTAATTTGTCAACCTGAAAATGAAAATCAAACGGAGAGCAACTGAAACGATTCAGCAGAATAGTGTTGCCTGTTGAAATCCGGGTGACACTGACATTAAACAGTGCAGCAGGATGCACATTTCAGAGCTTTTTCACTCTCGGCCTGTAAAAGATATTCGATATTTAGGGTCCTTTAGTACGACTCTGATTCCGCGTTAAGTGCGTTTGCTTGAATAATCGAAAGGGACACGCAGTTTGTTTAATATTAAGCAGCATTCAGGCGCTTGTTACAATGTGAGCAGCGGCAAATTACTCGCTGAAATTGCACCTTGAGAATCAATTAAGCGAGATCTGTGTTGTATTTTCATTTGCTGCGGCGGCAGATGGTATGGAGGGGGGGGGGGGAGAGGGGTTGTCTGTGGTGCAGTCTGCCTCTCCGCACCCACATGAGGCCCGGGGACAGGGTTTATACCACGGTGGGGGCTGGCAGAGGGGCATGGCTACCCTGGCAGATTCAGAGGGGGCAGCACTTATAAAATATTCTAAGGGGTGACATTTTGCCCAGAATTTGTAGCCATGATACAGTGACGCTGAGAATCAGAATTAGAAAACTTTATTAATTCCTGAGGAAACTGCTTATGTTACAATGGCTCAGAAGACAGGAAGAGGTGGAAAGGCAAGGTACAAAAAAAGACACAAAATAGAAGAAGAGAGATCCTCTTTGCCCTGGTAAATGCAGTGACTCCACCTCCTTAAAATTAATGTGAACTATTCTTTCATTTTTCTTTTCTTTCATCGTTTGCTTGCCGTTCAGCAAACACCCATTGGTCAAACAGCATTTTCAGGCTGTCAGATACAAAGCGAGCCACTTCCCCAATAGGCAGAGAATGTCCATATAAAAAGATGTATTCGTTTTTAACAAGCGCAACAGCATTAAGACATAAGAGTTGAAATCCGGACAGAAGTGCTTAACCATTACAGTGGCTGTAATTGAATGCGAGAAGGATTTCATTCTGCTGACCTTGTGTTAAAGTGGCTGATAGCTGACCTTAAAAACATTATGGAGAAAATGTGCTGGCAATCTTGAAAGTGAATAAAAGGTCTTTTCTTGACATTTGATGAGAATAATATCAACCATTTACATGCAAATATGTTTTCCACACAGTCCAAGGAATTTTCCTAAAGTTAAAATGAGTTTTGGTTGTTTCCAGCAGTGCAAAACATGCCTTTAGTTGAGCTGGGATTTCTAAGTTGCCCACATTGTGAATGTGAGCCCTACGATGGACCAACAACCCATCCCGGGATTCCTTTGCCTTATTCCCTCTGCTTCCTGGGTCAACGTCCTGTCCCAGATAGGTGGTTCGATGATGGATGGATATACAGTATGTTAGCGTGCTATTTTACAAGGTACTAATGTGTAATTATGTCCATGAGAGTTTTACTTAAAAGAGAGGTGGGTCCAAGCAACTGGAGGAGGTGAGACCAACCAATCAGATGTCTTGGCCCCGCCTCCTGTTTGAACCCACCTCCTATACAATTTCAGCTGTAATTACAGTTCCCACAAAGCGATCTGTTATGTGTCCTTGTTTGTATATAAACAGTGCTTTGTGTGTTTGTGGAAAATGCATTTGTGTAACACAGGAAGTAGATGTGTAAATGGTTTTTGTTTCTTGTCATTCTGCAGGTGATAAATGTAGGTCAGGTGACTACGGGAAGCTAAAGAACAGGATGCTTGCCCTTCAAAACCAGAAGTTCATGCGAGAAGGCAGTAAGGTGGACCAGCCAGACCGGATGCTGCTGCAGAAACTTCTGGTGGACCAGATGTTTAGCTACTTTGACGCAGACAGCAGTGGGCTAGTCGACAACAGCGAGCTGTCCCAGGTGAGGAATGAGGAAGCAGGTTTGGTTTTGTGTTTATTCAGATGCGCATATGGACAGGAGATGTCTACGAGAAGATCTGTCGAGAACTGATCATGACAAACACTTGCAGCCATCACTAGAAAAATTCCCGGTACTTTGCGGACATTTAGTGATTCCCCAGCGAGTCACAGGTATCTGTGTGGTTTGCGGTTCACCAGAGAAGTTAAGCATGTGACTAAGGCTCAGTCAAAAAAACAAGTAACAGTCACTGAATAATTTCTTAGCATATCGTTTATATTAAAGATGTATGAGCTCTGCAGATGGTCCACATGCCCTCCAGGTGTATTCATCATGCCCCAAATTCACATTATCACCACAGTTTAAAGGATAATTAAAATACAGTTTGCTAAAACAGTTAATGTAAGTGGGGATGTGTAACACGCAATTGGTTTATTCTGTTTACCATATAGAAAAACAACTCACAATACAATACATATACTTTCCTAACAAACCTATTTACACAGATTGGTGAAACATACTCAACACCCAATCAATACCTATTAAAACAAAACAGCAAGTCCAACTCAACACTTAATGACCATACTGTCCTCTCAATGACCATACTCTCCTCTCAATGACCACTCAATGATCATACTCTCCTCTCAATGACCATACTGTCCTCTCAATGACCACTCAATGACCATACTGTCCTCTCAATGATCATACTGTCCTCTCAATGACCACTCAATGACCATACTGTCCTCTCAATGATCATACTGCCCTCTCAATGACCACTCAATGACCATACTGTCCTCTCAATGACCGTACTGTCCTCTCAATGACCACTCAATGACCATACTGCCCTCTCAATGACCACTCAATGACCATACTGTCCTCTCAACGACTGTACTGTCCTCTCAATGACCATACTGTCCTCTCAATGACCACTCAATGACCATACTGTCCTCTCAACTACTGTACTGTCCTCTCAATGACCATACTGTCCTCTCAATGACCACTCAATGACCACACTGTCCTCTCAATGACCACTCAATGACCATACTGGTCTGACTAATGAGAGACAAGGGCTCAGCCACAACCTTGACCATCTGACCAGACACATTTGAACCTCTGCATTACAGGTTGTCAAGCGGGACGGACTGGTCAGGGATAACTCACGGTGTACCCTCTTTGATCTTCTCAAGTACGATGATGTCAACAGTGATCAACAGCTGTCAAGGGAAGAGTTTTATAAAGCGTTTGGTGAGTGTTGTTTTTCAGACAGATATCATTAACCTTTACAGGGTAACAGATACTCTGCAGAAAAAGATAAACTTCTGCTTTTTCTGTATTGAAGCTTCATCATATTTTATGTATGAAGGTAGCTCAGGTGCATTTTAAATGAGCAATTATTAGGTTGTGTGTACGGTGTATCACCAAATTTTTATGTTTAATTTTAAGGGCTTAAGTATGTCTTGAATGACTATTCATGAAACAATTCTTACAAGGTTGGTAGGTAAGCAATCAAATTTAATTTAGTCCCTATTCTGTTGTCTGCACTAATGCTAATTTGAATACTTTGATTTCATACTCACTCGAAACGTCACATAATAAATATTACTGTGCAACGTAATAATGTTGTACTCAACACCCATAGCTGTCTAAGGATTCCAGAAACAGGCCAGAACAGTGACATCACTCAGGCGACAGTGAGATATTGATTTCTAGTAATTAGTGTCTACCTTACGATGCATGGCAGCCAAAGCTGACTCCCAGATGGAACATTCCGGAATCTATAATGCAGATCTATTCCTGTGGTCTTATCTTCTATACACATCGTTAAAAAAAAGAAAAGAAAATGCAGCCTTGATGATATATGCAGTGAACTGGAATTAAATTTTATACATAAACGTTTGAACATAGTTGGTTTTTAATCATTCCCCTCAACAAATACAGAATTTCAACTTATGTTTAATTTTAATTTTGTCATTCTGCAATGCAATCATATTCTCTACTAAATACAGAATGCCCCACACATTTTATAACCACAGTTTAAGAAAAACTTTGAATTGTATGTTTGCATTCAATTTGATTGACACATGGTATAAAGCACATTATTATTTAGTATTTATTAATATATGCTGGAAAATATGTATTTTATAAAAGTATGTACTTAATTGAACATTTATTTTATGCTCATGAACATGAAAAATGTATATGAACACATTTTACAGTGTTCATCAGTTAAGCAACTTTATGCATGTAAAATGCTCATTTTGGTTGATTTTGATTTTTGTGTATTTGTGGAGTGTCTCTCTTGTTCCATGTTCATCCAGCCACTCTGCTTTGCTCTCAAAGACAGAGACCCACCGTTTGCCTGCAGCACTGTCCCTAAATAGCTCCACCCCTCTCTGGGTGGGACTAGCTTGGGCTCGAACCCCGTGCTTCTGCCTCCTAAGTGTGGCAGGACCTTGCAAAAATATAAGTAGGTCCAGAAAATTTCTATGTTCCTTTTGGGAAGGCACGTCTTCCGTGATCATTGGGAGAAAACACATTTTCTGAGAGGCGTTTCCGATAGAGTGCTATCATCTGTTGGAAACCTCACATGGAGGGAAAAGGTGTGTTGCAGGAAGTGACCCCCCCCATGAGTGACTTTATTTATTTCACATTACCAAGTTACCCACACAGATGTCTTGTAAATGTAATAAAGTGAATTTTAAAATAAAACAACTATGTTGAATGTCAATCAGCTAGACTTCTACCACATTGAGTTCATAAATTATTTATCCAATAAATACACTGTCAAGCTGCCCAGTGAATAGTGGAAAAAAGGTAACAGATCTTAACAAATCCCAGTCACATTGCAGGAAACAAACAAAACATGGCGATTTCTCCTGGAAGTTATTTAAAAAGAAATCTTTTTTTTAAAGTTTATTCTTTTCCAGTAATGCTTTCACTGGATGTTTCAGAGACCAATGCCAATGTAAGCCTGAAGTTAAGCTCGAACTTAGATACCCAATAAACATTTCAAAGAGCACAGTAATAGGCTGAAACTTTAGTAGAAAAAAAGCAGAGGAATTACATCCTTCATCTGTTTAGGATGATATTCTAATCCAGGGATGGCCAATCTTATCCACAAAGGGCCACTCTGTGTGCGCTGAAACTCCCTAATTAGATTACTAATCAGAGGACTGATTGGCTGAAGAGTCCTCACACCTGGGTTTGAACAGCTGACCTAAAGGTTACCCAGAAACCCACATACACACTGGCCCTTTGTGGGTAAGATTGGCCGCCCCGATCCAATCCATTAGGCAATTAGATAGTGACACTGAGGCAGAGCACTAAAGCGGGCATTCGTGCTGACAGGCTGCCCGTTCCTCTGGTCCTGCACCTGGGTCTCTGTACAGGTAATTAGCCCATTCAGATGCCCTGTTGAATGGCATCCCGTCCAGGGTGTACCCCAGCCCCGTGCCATGTGAAGGACTGGCATCCCGTCCAGGGTGTACCCCAGCCCCGTGCCCTGTGATGGACTGGCATCCCGTCCAGGGTGTACCCCAGCCCCGTGCCCTGTGATGGACCAGCATCCTGTCCAGGGTGTACCCTAGCCCCGTGCCCTGTGAAGGACCGGCATCCCGTCCAGGGTGTACCCCAGCCCCGTACAGTGAACACGGAAATTCCTCTTTGTACATCTGAAATATCACTCAGAGTCTTATAGCAGTTAGAAGAATGATTTTTTTTTTTTTTCATTTAAAAGTTTTAAATACCTCAAATATCTTTTTAGTTATTGTATTCATCCAGTAAGAAATACCAATCAAAATCAAATTTTTGATTAATAAATCACTTTTACACGGTAGGTTGAATTTTCAACAGTGAACTGGAAATAATTCAGTAAATATTGAATATTTCACTTAACCATATAACAATATACAGCTAGCTATTTCCGCAGTTATACTATACACCTGTGTTTTACTGTGGATGTCCTTAATGTCTGGTAAATTATATTCTCTGCTTCATACCAAATATTTCTTTGGCTGAACCCATCAGTTGCCTCTTGTGTCAGACAGAAAGCCCTCTGCCACTCGCCTAGTCCTTTCGGAACCTTTATTCCTCATAACGTAGCTTTAGGCAGCATGATTAATTCAATATCATATTTTTGTTTCCTCAGAACTTGAGAAAAATAACAAACAAACCGTATTTCTAATTTACCAGTCAGAAACGTCTCTGCTATATACGCGAGGTAATAACTTCTCCTTGGAGCCGCAGTGTTATAAATCCCTCGCCTTTCATCTCATTCTGACATTTCCGAATCACTCTCCTCTGACATTTTCCACGTCCCGAAAAAAACAGCTAACGAAGTGTGTTTACAATTAGCATTTCGGCGGAGGTGCATTAGGAGGCGCCGCGCAGGCGGAGCGCCACGCCGCGCAGGAGGCAGCGCTGCGGGACCCCCGGCTACCCGAACCTGTCATCTCGCTGAAAACTTTGACAGCGCCGAGAGGGGAAAAAAAACTCCGTTTGCCCTCCGGCATTGTATCCGGTTGTGCTATTTTTTAACATTAAACGAACACAAAAGATGGATGAGGAGTCGCGGCGTTGTCTGACAAGTCCTTCCCCAGGATTTTTTTTTACGTTTATTCGCGACTTGTCAGAGTGAATAGTCCGCATTTCGCCAACATGTTTGTTAACGAGTCCGTGAATCGAGTTAATACATGATATAACATGCTTTCTTGGTGAAGGCTCTATACTCTATAGGTGAATATTAGCAATAAATCATCAACTTATATGACAGAAGAACTAGGCCTGTACAGTATTCTCAACTGTAAACACCATCAGTCAGAATTATCTTGGATGACTCTCACGATAGTTTTTAAAATGATGTTAATATAAAATATTAAGTAGCAACACATTTATATTTAATAATTAATAAGCTGGTTTATTTTTTAATCGTGAAGAAAGATTGTAAATCCCAAGATTAATTAGGCCTACAATGGCATATGTGTACAGATAGTATTTCACCTGTACATAATTATTTAGTAATGAGCTTGAGATGAGCCTGAAACGTTTAGCCTATAGCAAAGCTATAAACAATTAGCAAAGCTGTGAACAATTGTAGCTTCATTTCCATTAATTGTTGATTCTTTTTACATAAACAGTTACCTTTAACAAGCACTAAAGAAAATGTCTTTAGAGTATGACTGATTTAATTAATTTGTCAGCATTATGAAAGGGATGAGCACAGAGCGGATTTACACTACACTGGAACTGAGAAGAGCTTTGGTGAGTAACCGCACTCTGTGCCTCAGTCTGGCTGATTTGTTAGCTCCTAAACCATTATGGCAGCCATTGCTTCAGATGGGATGTACTACTTGGAAGGATACAGAAGATTACACAATAGATCAGACAAGATGGCCCGCCCTAAAAAGGAATCTGATAGATTTGGGCACAGTATAGATTTTACCTCACACAAGACTCACCTTCCTTCATTTTCTGCTTGTGCTAATCCCTACCGCATCAAGTCTGGCCCTGAACGCAGTTGAGAGATTACTTGACCATAAGAATTGGACATTTTTCATACTCTGTGGTTTGTCCTTGGGGCTGTGAGGCACCTTCACGAACTCAAATCTTAATCTGAATTTACTCATTTCTTTGTCCTGATAATGAATGCAGACTGACCCAGGGAGAACACAAGTGCATTTTTCTACTTTTCACTAGTCTTCACTTCTTAACGTTCTCCAGAATGGTGAATCAAAGTGTATTCCAGTTTTTTAGCCTTCTAAGTTTAAAGTAATGTAATCATCTGCTCTTTGGCTAATTGTAGAATCTGCAGGATTGTATTAACGCCCATTAGAATCCGTTATTGTCTGAAACACTGTTTTACATGGTCCATCTTTCATTACTTTTTAAAATTCATTGTTCCCATTGAGACTGTTTGCAGGGAGAGTAATCCAGCCTAATGATAAGGGGAAGGGCCGTCTATCTGAAGCAGTGGCCTATAGCACTGGGCAGGCATCAGCACTGTAAGGCTTCCACTGGGCTTCACTCTTAGCTGTTACCATGATGCCAGATAAAGGACAGTCTAACATCGGCATTCTCCACTGCGTCTCCACGCTGGGCTGGATCAGGGGCCTCAAGCTCAAATTACCTGGGGGCCACAGGCCGCGGGACCTTCACTGGAGGGGGCCACTGGTCGGGAGGCCTTCACTGGAGAGGGCCACTGGCCGGGGGGCCTTGATTGGAGGGGGCCACTGGCCGGGGGGCCTTCACTGGAGAGGGCCACTGGCCGGGGGGCCTTCACTGGAGGGGGCCACTGGCCGGGGGGCCTTCACTGGAGGGGGCCACGTGAGCCAAAAAAAGAAATATAACAGGAGGAGAAAACAATGAAACCTTTATATTATGCTAATCTATAAGAAAACCAAGTCTATGCCAATCATTTAAATGACAAATTCAAAAGAGGAAAACAAAATATCGACCTGTGGGCAAGATTTAATAATGAATTTAAAAACATGCAACAAGCAGGCCCACAGGCCTGTAGTTTAAGGCCTCTGGTCTCGGTTTACAAGGCTGTTAAACTTTAAGTCATTTACTTACATATGCAGCACCATTCATCCATTCATTCTTCCAGTGATTCTTTTCCAGTGCGCCAACACTGTGAGCTTGCAGCCTCTTCCAGTACAGACATCATCTGAACATTTCTATTTTATTTTATCCAGATCCATAAAATGAGATATCCCTACAACAGAGATCCCTAAAATGAGATATCTAGTTACACAAGTATTTTACAAATTTTATAAAATAACTATAAATATTATAAATATTTATTTAAAATGAGATATCCATACAACAGAGATCCCTAAAATGAGATATCCATACAACAGAAAGAAGTTGACATGCAGCTTCAAAATCCCAATTTTGATATTCCTTCTAAAATCTCACAGATTTAGGCTTTAGTTAGATCTTAAAAAATAGATGCTGGGGGTGTGACGCTATCGCCTCTCCAGCTGCAGCGGGACGCATTTCAAGTAGATTACGGTAAAATGTCAGCTCCCTCACTACGCATCTCAGAATACAATCTCACTTACGTTCTATCTTTCAATATCGTTTTGCTGTTCATCACTTATAGGATTTAAACAACAAAGACATTTCTCAGGCTTTAAAGTTTGACGCCCAGCAGTGGAATGAGCATTATGAACAGTATTTCTGCTGATGGGAACGTTCCTTCACACCATTAGACAGAGAAACAGCATGTTCAATACAGAGAGTGCAACTGCACTTCACTTTAATACTAACCAGCAATCCATGTAAGGATCAATATAACGGAGAAGTGGAACTTTTTTGAGTTATTTGGTAGGAATAGACAGTTTCTAACAATGGCTTTCAAACAATCTAACAACAGCATTTAACGTTGAATTGTGAATTTGAACCCTTTTCCTGTGATGAACACCTACGAGATCATCATTTTCTTTTGATTACTTTCTGCTCTCCCTGATAATGGAAGCTTGAGTTAATTGCCTGCAAAGTGAGACTTCGTGCTGGAGGACATTCAGTGTTGTGTCCTTAGTGTTTTCAGCAGGAAGAGGGAGAAAAACAATAGGCTTGCAAATTGATTTATTTAAAATGGTCTTGTGTCAATTGCCCAATCTAATGTTAAAGCCTTTTTTCATTTGTATAGAAACTGATTGATTTATCCCCTGAAAATCCAACATCACAGTGCTTATGAAGCATTTAGGCTACCAGTTCCCCCTTTTTTTAAAACAACGACATTCTGTAAATTACATATTATTTGGCCCGTCATGAATGTCAAACCTTGAACTTCTGCTGTTCTGTAGCAGGCTCGTTTGCGCAGCCGAACTTGGATAACAGTCAGGGAAACATATTTTATATCCACGCAGCAAAAATTCGCATGTGCTTTTCCACACCGGCTTTTGTTGTCTTGAGCATTTCTTTTTACTTTTATGCTTTCCTCCCAATTTATTCGATTTATCAAAGCGCTCGCTGGGATCTTTGACGTGTTTATTCACTTCAAAGGCTGCACCAAAATGTATTTTTAAAGCTAACCTGCCCTCAACTGGGCAAAGAGTGTGGATCCGCTCGTGTGCTGCACGTGTGCATTTATGACCAGGGTGTAAAGTCTCCAGAGACGCGTCATCATAGTTTAGCGCACCGTGAATATGTGTATTATGCCGAACCGTAACTCATTTAGGGAGATGCACTCGTTGCGTGTTATTGCTGTATCTCCCAGCGGGTTACTTTCTTCTTTCCCCGACTTCTCCCTCCTAGAGAGCTCGGCTCTCAAAACTGCACCTTCGCTCTTACATCTTACCAAGTCTTACAAATGCGCTAAGCTGTGCCAGCGCCCCTCGGAGGATACGAGAGCCGCCTGCTCCTCCCGCTGCAAAGAAAGACCGAAGAGCGCTGCGCCCCAAGAGGCCTCCAATGAGGAGCGATTGCTTACGACTCGGAGTGGGAGAAAGCTCCTTATTATCTCAACCTGTGTCAGCAGAGATATATCATATAGTTAAAAATGAGTTTTAAAATAGAACCACGTTGCATTAAACAACCAAATGAACTGATTCCGCGATCCTCATTCCTTTGCTTAATTTCATTTCTGACTCAGCTGTTTATCTACGCTCCTGGCTGTTTCTGACATTTTCAGCATAAAATGCAATTCAGCTAAATGTACGATTGTAATTAATGGAAATTAAATTATTAATTGGTCGTTATTATTGTTACGCTTGCATGATTTTTAGCTTGCTTGGTGGTTCTCTTTAGCCGGATCCCTATCGCTGTGTGATGTGTTTTTTCAGCACATTAACATCCTTCTAAGACTGATCCCTCATTCTTTTCGCGGTCCCCATGGTTGCCATCCTCAGCTTCCTGCGGCCAGACCCGGCTTTTCATTGCCATTGTTCGTTTGACTCCAGAAGTGTAACAAATTGAGTAATTTCCCCTTCGGCTTCAGTTACATGCATAGTTCAACCACAGGAAGCATTAAAAACACACGAGTGATCGTCACACAATAAAAAAGAGATCTGCGCCTGGTCAAGGCGTAAATTGGATAAAATATGTTTTTTAAAATCTTATCTATTATCCATTATCTTACATAATCCCTCTGATACATCAGCATGACTGAGATTGAGAAATATGGCTATTTATAATAGTTTCGAGTGGCTGTTATGAGAAGACAGAGCGTTTGCTCGATGTCCGAGCCGGATCCAGGTCTCCGTTTGTACCGGGACAATCTAAGCGCTGTGTTTACAACACGCCAGATTGTGTTTCCTCCGCCGAAGCGCTGACTCGTACACCTGTCCCGCTGGGCTGTGACCCCGCCAGCTGACCTCCGCCGATACACAGAGTAGAGATGACAAAACACTCGAGTTTCTATTTGCGTTCGTGGTCCATCCGGCTGCCCGCTCGCTGCCAGCTGGCATTTCTGTGGTAAATCAAAGAAACTTCTGCAGCAGGGGACTGCTGGAGCACAAAGGAAAAGGAGTCAGATCTGAACATCATGTATTCATATAAACATAAGGAAATTAATGCCGCAGAATTTACCTGCGGCACTGAATATTTGAAGGCATGTCATATTGTCAGTATTAAATAGTGTCAGCAGTACTAATAAAATTATTAAAGCTGTTATGCATTGTTTCTTTTGGGTATGTAAATAGTGTTTTATCATTTTATGCCAATTTATTCCCAGAGGATATGTGATATATTGGCAGTTTCTGTACAACATATGTGGTAGGAACAACTGGAGAGATGGTGTGCATTTTAATGGATATTTGAATAACTCCTCCGCCTCTTTATACACCATTCTTGTTTATTCCGGTATTTGCATGTTCCCGGTGTGGCACGCATACTCAAACACAAACCGTGCTGATGTCCCTTTCCGCCCATGCAGGGGTGCTTCAGCTGAGCCTAGCCAATGAGCTGCGAGTGAGCGTCTCCACGGTGACAGTGGGCCAGAGCGTGGTCCTGACCTGCGGTGTCACAGGACAGCAGCGACCCCCCATCATCTGGAAGCGCCACGACCGCATCCTCAATCACCTGCGTCTGGAGGACGTCAGCGTGAGTGATGCCTGAGGGGCGACTGCGAGCGGCCTGGGGAGGACTGTGATCGGCCTGGGGAGGAGCGTCAGCCGCGATCGGCCTGGGGAGGGGTGTCGGCCGCGATCGGCCTGGGGAGGGGTGTCGGCCGCGATCGGTCTAGGAAGGGGCGTGATTGGCCAGGGGAGGGGCGTCAGCTGCGATCGGCCTGGGGAGGGGTGTCGGCCGCCATCGGCCTAGGAAGGGGCGTGATTGGCCAGGGGAGGGGCGTCGGCCGCGATCGGCCTGGAGAGGGGTGTCGGCTGCGATCGGCCTAGGAAGGGGCGTGATTGGCCAGGGGAGGGGCATCAGCCTGGGGAGGGGCGTTGGCCGCGATCAGCCTAGGGAGGGGCGTGATTGGCCAGGGGAGGGCGTCGGCCGCAGTCGGCCTGGGGAGGGCTGTGATTGGCCAGGGGAGGGGCGTCGGCCTGGGGAGGGGCGTCGGCCGCGATTGGCCTGGGGAGGGGCGTCGGCTGCGATTGGCCTGGGGAGGGGCGTCGGCCGGGATTGGCCTAGGGAGGGACGTCGGCCATGATTGGCCAGACCTCGGCCACGAGGGATGGCTGCTGAGTCTCATGCTCCCACCATGATTTCCAGTGCAAACCCACCCAAATATTAGGTTTCCTCTCCTGGAAACATTCCCACAGCCTGATACCCAGTCAGGGGTAAGTTTGCTGTTTCTGGGGCCCAACTCAAAAAGTCAACCCCCCCTCCCAGTGTAGTTACCATTTTGGGCCAATAGGGAGCCCCCAGACCTTGGGTCCCCACACGCACAGATATTCCCGTGACCCACCTCTTTGGTTTTCCTGTGTCTGCTTCCCCCGCATTCTTACGCCATAATCGCTCTGCACTGATACTCCTCCTTTCCGTTGTCCTTTGATTGTGCAGATCCTGGGGGTAGGTCCGGCTCTCTCTGCCGCAGCACAGTTACGGATCCACTTCACTTTGTTAAACTCCTCTCCGCTCCCCTTCGCAGAGTTCCTGTTCCTACCTCCCTGCCCCATGTCCCTCCATCCCCGCCCAGTCCGAGTCCCCCAAAGGCCGACGCAGGAAGGTCGCAGTCATACAAAATGGCCCTGGGGGATGAAGGCCACTCAGCCGTTAACACTCCAGCGCTGGACAATGGTTTTTCGGCACACATAGAATCACTATGCATTGAACAAGACGCACAGCGCCCCCTGTGGGAATGCCAAACAGTTCCGCTTTAGATTAATTAAGTCACCACCGGCATAAGAGAGAAAAGGTCAGTGTCTAATATCACTGTTACTAATATAACAGCAGATGTTGATGACAGTGTAAGGGCCAGTGTGGACTGCAGCATTCGCAGTGCAGTGCAGTGCACTGTACCCTAATCGCTGTATCATCACCCGCCACTGGCTCGCACACGGAGAGTGACCGGTCATTTTTGGTATAAAAGTCGCAAAAACTAACTGTGGTAGAATAACGTACAGGATGTTAGAAACTGAATTATACAGAAGATATAATATTATAATAAATATATTAAATTAAACTATAAAAGGAATTTTTCTTCAGTGATAGCAGCAGGCCGACAACTAGAGCGCCCCCTGTAGTCAATATGCAGCGAGGCCATTACTCAGCCCAGACAGCACTAGAGCCCGTTAGTAAGAGCTGCCCCGGGGTTGGGTTCTATTCGCTAGCCCACACCTCTAAAGCTTTGCGGACTGTGACATAAAGGTCTGATGCAGAAAGGAGTCGATTCTGACTGCTGAAGATGGAGACCATTACCGCCATTACCGCCTAGTAAATCTTGGTGTCTTCCTAGCAACATCTCATGTGTACATTTCCTAACCAAAGCAATAGCTCAAGTATGTTTATGATTTGGTGGTATATTTAAAGTAATATATAAAGAATAGACCCTTCATATATGTCCACCCTCATTCCCTTTAACTGGAACACTTTCCGATTGTTTAATCTGTCCCCCGCAGTAATTACGCAGGTCTTTCCTGCACTGACACTATTCTCTACGCCGCTCTGCACTGATACTCCTGCGTTTGATTGTCCTTTGATTGCGCAAATCTCAGGGGATCGGTCGGCCCTCTTTGCCGCAGTACAGTCGTGGCTCCTCTGCACCACGTGCATGTAATTCGGTACCGACACAAGGTCCTTTGCAGTCGCTTCTTAAACAGATCGGGGCAATAACAAGAAGCGTTAACAGCACCTCGATGTGGTTACCTATCTGAATGCCGAATTCATTGGTATATCAAATCCCATTAATGTCCTGTTGCGTGTGCACTGTAGGAAACTCATTTCTGGCTGGCTTGCGTCACCTTATTACATTAACGGAAGACGAGATGCATTGTGTTGGTAACCTGTATACATTTTCATAAAACTTCTATTCACTGCGAACGTAAAGGGGAGAACTGGCATTTCATTTCCCAGAGATATGTCATGTAGAAAGGTAGAAATGTAGGCCAGGAATTGTTTATTTATTCATACCTCAGCGTTGGAAGCTTGTGGACTGAACACAGGAGATATTCCCACATTATACAGACACACACCTATAAATCTCCATATTATACACACACACCTATAAATCTCCATTTCATACATATACATGTGTGCGTGAATCTCCGCTGTTAAAAGTGCCAAGCACCGGTTTGTTCTGTTTTAGAAATAAACTCATTCAGTCTCCAGCAGAAAGTCTTCTGCTGTCAGGCTTTTACAAGGACAAAGTGACGGATGTGTGTTTATGTGATGGAGCCGTCTTTGAAAATAATTAAATTCGGCGCAATTCCCCCAAATCCATTGTGCACTAATGATGCCACTAAATCAATGCCTGTGATCCGAATTGGACTGTGGCTCCGGATTTACACTAACTACTCTCCATAATGAGGACACCAAATGACAACAGGTGCATTGAACTACCAGGATGTTTTAATGACACCAACACTTAAAAGAACTTAAGAGTATATACGCAGGGAATTGAGATTATTCTTAATATTCCGTGCATTAAGTTTCTGTGCGTAATTAGGGCCGTGGGAGGGACAGGGTTACCCTAGCAGATTGAGGGGCCCCAGGACTTCACAGGGACCCTTGAATATGTAAAATTGTACGTAAAATTAGGATGGGGCTCCAATGTGACATTTATCAGGGGGCCAGAGGTGCTAGGTATGCCCCTCTGTGTAATTAAGAAAACGTATTCATAAAATATCTCACTGCAGATCTCCAATATTCAGACCGCGCTCCCCCCGTCGTAGCGAATTTCATTGAACTCTGTGGTGTCTGCTTTTAATTGTGACCCCACCCTTAGTACTGGGGCTTACCAATGCCAATCAGGTCAAAAGATTAAAACACACAATGATAAAACAGATCTTATAAAACTTCCATTAGGATAATGGCAGCCGGAATGTCTCGTTTTGATTATTCTGCAAGGTCTTTTTGTGGGAACTGTGAGGAAATTTAATTGACTCCCTCCTGCATGAGCGCTATATTTAAGTTCCTCTGAGTTTCTGCGGGACATATTATGCTTTCATAAGGTCATGTGATGTCTCTCACCTCATTCCTGCAGGGTTCAGAACTCAGCAATAACAATCAGAAAAGAAATATGTCATTATAATTGTATGTTTCTTGTATTTCCAAGATAAAAGTTTTATGTTACTGCATAGCATGGATCAAAAATGACATTTAATTTGACATCGCACTTTGAGTCTGGCGTATGTAATCTGCGGGGAGCACTTTCTGTCATCATAAGGAACATCAAATGTAATATATGAAATGTGCTGCCTTTCTGAAACCAAAAATGAAATATTCTTAGTTAGACAGTTTTACAGTAACCAATTCATGGGGCATTTTTAGAAGCATATATGCAGGGAATTCTGATTATTTTTTAGATATTAGCTTCAATAATTCTTCAGTAAACATGATTCTGCTCTGATGTTATGACATTTAATATTGCTTATAATTTGTCACTAGTTGTGGCATTTAATTACACAGTTTATGGTGGTATAATCTGACATGTTCACTAATTAGCAGTGCTGGTTGATGCCCACATGACGCCAGCGCGTCACCACCAGCGCCCCCTGTCTGAGACAAAGTGAAATCGGCTGGCTAAGTCAGCGCCCCCTCAGAAGATGGTGCCNGCGCCCCCTGTCTGAGACAAAGTGAAATCGGCTGGCTAAGTCAGCGCCCCCTCAGAAGATGGTGCCCTAGGCCAGCTACACCGCCGGCGCCCCCTGTCTGAGACAAAGTGAAATCGGCTGGCTAAGTCAGCGCCCCCTCAGAAGATGGTGCCCTAGGCCAGCTTCACCGCCGGCGCCCCCTGTCTGAGACAAAGTGAAATCGGCTGGCTAAGTCAGCGCCCCCTCAGAAGATGGTGCCCTAGGCCAGCTTCACCGCTGGCGCCCCCAGTCTGAGACAAAGTGAATTCAGGTTGGCTAAGTCAGCGCCCCCTCAGAAGATGGTGCCCTAGGCTGTTGTCTGTCACCTAATGGTGGTTTTTCCTTTCTAATTTATAACCACTTTGGTGACTGAACATAGGTTTGACACTCAAGATCTAGACACATACCCAATGTCATCCAAAACTGAAGTATTATTTATTGCATTTGATGAAAAATGTATCACAGAGAGTTTCAATGGATTGATTCGAATTAGGATTGTGTAGATAATGTAAAGTCTGCAGTGAGATTCTGTGGAGACACAAGTAATGAGGTCAAGACTGCCTCTTCCTGTTCAGGCCACACCCACCAGGTATTGCCCCCGTCATGCTGTCTTGACCTCTCCAGCCTCTAGAGGGGGTAACTCACAAACACAGTATAAGACACCGCATTGAAATAAATAACAAAATTACCAATTTGGTTCCTACAGTCTTTCATATGACTGGTGCTCTCCTGTTTGCCTGACAATATTTATCTGTACATTTGTGTGTTTGGTCTGTGTCAGCACTGGTTTAAACAAATACCTCGATCTTGTTTTTCAGATCCCTCATGAGGTAGGTCTGCCGGGAGCTGGACCGTCTGACCGTTTGCATTTTAAACGCTGTGAAGCTAATGGAGGCCGGCCCTGTAACTGAGGGCGACAATGAGGGCAGGCCAAGCTGCGTATGGCAGGCCGCGTCTGCGGGGAGGTGGCCGCTGGCCCCACCCCAATGCACCACCTGCTTTTCATTTTACCTTCATCCATTTTTTATTCAAAAGATTGGAAGGAACTCGGCCATGGCAGGGCTGCCCAGGGAAACGGCGGCGCCGTGTAATCCCTCACAAGAGGCCTGCCTCTCTTCTTGGCTGCTCTTGGCTGCTGGTGCCCCAGGCAGAAAATAAGAGCAAAGATGCTCTTATTTTCTGGGCAAATACTCCGCTAGCTAATTGTGCAGCCCCCTTAAGCGTTATGAATTCATTAGCTTCATAGATGATGATTGTAAATGTAATAATGCATATTTTTTTCTATACTTTTCAGCATGCGTGATTGCCTCATCATTAGTATTGTATGCAGCAGTGGTCAGAAAGATTGTAACTTGTGTTTAATATTATTTTGCGGATTCCTTATGTCGTATGTTTCTAGGTGCTGTAGACTTTGGCCTGCTGAAAAAACAGCTAAAAACCAGCTTATGCTGGTAACTGGTTTTAGCTGGTCTGAGGTGGTCTTAGATGGTCATGTCCCAGCTCTTGCTGCTCTTTGATGATTTAACTGGGTGGGTGACCAGTTTATCATACCTTAAACTGGTCAACCAGCTCAAGCTGGTCAAACTGTTTTTTCCAGCAGGGTAAGCATGCTGCTGCTCCGATGTCACATGCGTCACAGTGGCTCTGCGTGTTCCTTTAAGTGCTATGATGTGTTTAATTGTGGCTCTTCTTTTAAACTTGCGTTCACGCCTGAATTCCCACTTTTCCAACTCTAAAGCAAATAATTACAATTAAAACTGAGACTCAAGGCTAGTTAATGGATTTAGAAATAATTGTGACACATTAAAATGGGGGGCACTTTTTTGCCAAACGGTAAAAAATGCATTACTTTTGAATAGATATCCATTCAAATTCAGGCTCGCTTGTTGTAAAGTACTTTAGCTTTAATTTGACTTGAGTTCTAAAGGGCTTTTATGAATTTTATTGGCCTCAAAAATCAATTTCTAATTCAATGGACACAAGTTTTATGCTAACGTGCTAATTTGCGAGCACATTTCCTGCCTGATGCATGCCGCTCGCAGGGTGTTTGCAGGGTCGGTGACGAGCTCTCTTTGTCGCCAGGACTTTGGAGACGACGGCTCTCTCTACATCACCAAGGTGACCACGACCCACATGGGGAACTACAGCTGCTACGCCAGGGGTTACGAGCAGCTTCCACAGACACACGTCCTCCGAGTGAACGGTAATCGCTAATGCGCCTCTAATGCACCATCACATGGCGCGGTTTACGGGGACGGCGTCTGCAGCACCACGGTGGCGTTAGCGGAAATCTCGGCCAAACCTCCATTTCCCCCCAACGTCAACACTAACACCAGAATTACAAAATAATTAGTCCTGCACATGGTTTCCTCAAAGCACAATGGAGCATTATTACAAAATCAAATGTAACGGGCAAAATCAAACATTTTTACTTACATTTAGCCAAAAGGCAGTTATTTTCTTTTTTACGGAATTTAATGGAGGTCTGGGTTCACAAAAATACAAAGCTTTATTATGTTTATAAGTCTGGAAACATCTAATAGAGCTAATAAATCATTGGCAGGCTGGTTTAACGTGTTTCTGATGCTGTCAGAAGGGCCCCTAACTATTAAATCGGCTTGGGTAAATATCGGGAATCTTAAATCTGAAAAAAATATTAAAACTCCACCTCTGAATGAACTAATTTAATGTGGTATGAAAGCTTAAAGCTTTTAATGCTGATTATAGATGTTTTTATGCTGAAAGTATTTAAAGGAGGCGTGAAATTTGCCCTGAGCACAGAACCATATGGCTGTGTGGAGATGTGACCCAGAAAAGCGGATTTATAGGGGAAGCTTTAGGTTTTCCAGCGTTAGAGGAACGGCAGAAGCGACGGGGTCGACACAACAGATAAGCCTGAAAAAGAAAAGCCCTTCCTTCCATAGTGTAGCTGCTTAATGAGCACAGGGTCACAGGTGGGGCTTGGAGCCAATCCCAGCCAGCAGGCCGGGACTGGAGCTCTGCACTGTCTTAACGGCACCTTTCCCAGCTTGGGGGGAAATCAGAGTGTGTGCAGGCAAACACCACAGACGGCAAGGGGCTGGGACTCAAACTGCAATCCTGAAGGTGTGAGGCATCAGCTCTGCCCGGTGCGCTGGCCCCAGCCCTTACGGCAAGCGGAAGTATGAGAAAACACTGACTCAGGTGTGATTATCTGTGTGCGAGGGGGTGGGGGGGAGGTCCCACAGTCATGGGAACAGGGCCAGCGTTTGAATCTGGGCATGTTTACTGAGCCAGGAGATGGACGTTCTCAAATTTATGCTCGCTTGTAGAAGCCAATAATGTAATAACTGCCAGTAACATAATCGTTTTTTCATTCTTAATGTGATAAAAGTTGATAATGTAATAACTTTTCTAAACCGATAACATATTTTTTTGCCAATAATGTAATAAGTTACATCTCCTGTAACTCAGCATCGTCCCAGTTTTTTCGACCTTTTGTGACTTTCGGCCGTTCAATTAACAATGACCTTAAAGCTTTAAGGGGTAATCGATGACTGGATCTTATTCAAATTTGTTCGAAAACAAATTAGCTAGCCTTTGAAACATCTAGTCTAGTCATTGATGAAAGATGTACAATCTGCACTGCCTGGACGTGTGTCCTATTAGGAGAAGTGGCTGGTCGATCTGTGAGGTGTTCCTACTGCTGTCCATTTGTAGATTCTAAGAAGAACCAGCCAAGACCTGTCAGTGGGCAATTTATTTGTTTTGGATAAATTTCTCTGAATTGTGTCAGCCTCTTAAACAGTTTAATTTGTTAGATGAGCATGAGATATCAAAGGCAAAATTAATTTAAAGTGTATCTTACTCTAATACTGTGTGGCCACATTATTTTAGAGGCCTGTGCTCAGGCAGAATCACATGACTGGCACGTCTCCTGAATGTCTGCATTCACTGTGCCAGGTCCTCACTTAACCTTCATCCAGAACTGCATCTGTGATCCTCATTTGGCTGAGTGTGCATGCAATGCCCACAGATTATTGGGGGATTACCACAGGAACTATCTGTGGACTGCTGTATGTGGGCCTGTTCACACCCATCTTGGCAAGAGCGAGGACATTCACGCTGAATGAGCAGGAGAACGACGATCACGTTCGGGTCCTGGGAAGGGCTTTTTGTGTGTGAGAGACGAAGAAGAGTCTGTGACAGAGAAGTATTCTACAAAAGTTTAGCTTGTCTACTGTGAGATTCAGAGCTTCACAGTAATGTTTGAGAGGCAGAAGTGGGTTTTGTCTTTAGAAAGAGTGCAGGCTTTTATGCGGACAGGCCGGGTCCACAGAGGCAGCTCAATCACACATAGTCACACAGTAATATTCAACAAAGAGCCAGTGTGCCCCAAATGCCTCGCTGCTGATGGCAAAGGCGCTGAATGACAGCAGCCTGTGCAGATTAATGAATTTATTGCGAGCCCTTGGAAAACCGCTGCAACTTTTCAAATGATTTTCCGGAAACATAGTCCGTAGCAACAAAGCACCCCACGCCATCGCACATCTCCACACATAGCTATTGTACTCAAATGATCATGAACCTTTTTTATAACATGGTATTTTACAATTCAAATATTTATTCTGTGGTGCCAAAGAATGCTGGGTTAAGTTCAAAAATCAAGGCTGTTTTTTTTCTGCATAAATTTTTCAAGACAGCATTCTTCTGTGCTTTGTTGAATTTTTTTTTCTGGAATTTTCCATTTGCTTCTCGTCGAAAGGCAGCAGACTGGGTAGCGGTGTGGGTAGCTTGGCTGAGCGCGGCGTCGGAGCAGATGGTGCCTTCGTGGCCTCTGCACGCGATGCCCCCATGGTTCTCCCAAACAAATCCTTCGAAGGAGCATTCCGGTGGCAGAGGAGCATGCATGTGTGTAAACAGTCCCCCTAGAAAAACGGGATCAGACACGACACTGTGGCTGAGGAGACCAAGCGTGAGGTTTACCGCGGTCGCGTTTGGCGTCGGCGAGAATGTAAGGCCAGCAATCCCATGTGTATCAAACTTATTATGATCTAAACTGAAGCAATTTCCATGACTATGAATAAAATAACATTTGCTTAGCACAAATTAATTATTGCGTTAAATTAAGGATATATTTGATCGTCTCCAGTAAATCTGGGGCAATAACATCTCATATCACTTGAACATTCTCCAGTGTGACTTCTCCTGGATGTCTGCATCTCTGCATTCCTCTCTGTCTCACACTGAGCTACCTATGCAGATGTGGGATGTAATGGTTCTGAAACCATGACTGAAACAGTGATACAAAGATTCACTGTCCCCCACCACTGCAGGTACATCCTGATGAGCTCTCATTACGTCATTAATGTTCCAAAACTCATTTTTCACACGATAATATATGTAAATGATGAAAATATTATTTTACTATTATACTGTGCGTGTCACATGACTATTTTTGTCCAATCATGATCAAGCGATCGCGACCCAGAATTTTCTTTGCCCGGTTTTTCGAATTACTGTAACCACCACCCCCCCCCCAAAAAAAAAAAAAAAACACTGAGGTATGAACCGAACCGTGACTCAAGAATCGAGCTAGAAACCAAAGTGGGGATTTGGAGAATCACTGCGCCCCTAGTGGGAAGAAAATGCAAAGGCAGATGTGAGTGTGCTGTCCTGGCTTCAGTGAGGCAGCGACGGAACCTGTTGCGTCCCACACAGCCACCACAGTCAGAGGGGATGTTTCTTTGTCTTAGAGTTGGTAACCAGCCCACACAGACGTGCCAAATCAACGATTAATCAGTCATCCATCTTAAGAACTCTGTACACTGGAGAATACTTACTTCACGCAAGGGATTCAATTCTTATCATCTCACTGCCTATAAGAACATGCTAATGTTCTGTGCTGTTTCACAACGTGAATCACTAATCACTTTATATCTAATATAACATTAGATTGAAGTCCAAATAAACATTTGATTTAGTTTAGCCTTTGCACAGTAGCACAGAAAGTGATAAATACTAGATTTTACAGAGAAATAAATAAGAACTGTACAAACAATGTCCCACTATGGTAAAAATCAGTCAAATAACTTTTTTGCAAATGGAAGTTGGGCAAATGGCATGTAAACACACACACACATTCAGTGTCCGCACAAATGAAATGCAATGACAGCAGTGTTAACAGTACATATACCCTTTGTCTATAGACAATTAATGAACATAAACAGATTTGGCTAAGTAGTAAGCGATGTGGCTTTTTTGGCATGGGCTCTGCTCTCCCACGTCCTGACATGCGTCGCCCTTTTTTGGGGGGGGGGGGGGGTCACGCAGTCCCCCCAGTTATTCAGGTATACCCGCAGAGCCAGGTAAGGGAGCCAGGGGTCACTGCCAGCCTGCGCTGCCACGCCGAGGGCATCCCCAACCCGCGGCTGGCGTGGATGAAGAACGGCATGGACATCACCACCAAACTCTCCAAGCAGCTCAGCCTGCAAGGTGAGCTCAGTAAACGCCGGTGTGTCTCCTTATCAAGCTTACCAGTGCTGGTCAACACGTTAGGAGAGGTAGGTGGTCACTAGGATGTTATATTCTGAGGCCGATATTACTTTGTCTGGGGGGGCGGCGGCACTGAAACTCGCTTAGGGTGCCACATGGGCTTCGAACAGCACTGGCTCTTACGGTATCATTTATGCATGCGATCTGGCACTCATCTTCCCTGCTGGTATGATTAGCATGTGAAGCTTGGGAATAATTCGTCACTAAATGGCAATTTCAACATAACAAATATACTTTATGCACCAGAGGCTTTATCCGGTCCAATTCCTCAGCTCCAGAAGCGCTTTGATGTAGGAATAACTTAACTCTGATATACAAGGAACGGCACGTTGTTGTAGTGGGAAAGCTGGGTTTTTCCTGGCTGCCTTAAGTCCTTCACTCCCCGGAAGAAGGACACCAGTAAGGAACAGCTACAGCATGACTGGAAACTGTTTGCGTGCTGGAATTATGGCCCAAACCACAGTTACTGAGTGATGGATTGATGCTCACGACATCGTAGTCTTTATCCTTTACCGCTAATGCTGCTAATGCTTCTAATGCTAAGGCAGTTAATGCTAATGCTGCTAATTCTTCTAATGCTAAGGCTAATAACATTGCCAATGGTAATGCCACGAATGTTTCTTCTGCACTGTAAGCACCTTCCCCCCTCACTAACATTAGTCTATGTGTGTTTTTTTCTTGCTCTGTTGGATCAGCCAATGGGAGCGAGGTGCACGTGAGTAACGTTCACTTTGAGGACACTGGAGCGTACACCTGCATCGCCAAGAACGAGGCCGGAGTGGATGAAGACATCTCCTCTCTTTTCGTCGAGGATTCTGCACGGAAAACAAGTATGTAGTAATGCTTACTTCCTGCTTGAATGAATTGTACTTGCCTGGGATCTTTTTACACTTAAAATCTGTATCACAAGGGACTGTATTCCCATGTCAATTTTTCGCGGCAAGAAAGAGGGCAAAAATGGTGTCTGTTGTAACATTGTCGCAAGCTAAATGGCCAAACAGGTCTAGGTCAAATGGCATCTGTAGTATATTGTGTTTGCAGCTGAACACCTTGTAGATTTTGGGTTAGGTTTAGGTTCTGACTGTAGCCTTAGCAATGAACCACAGCGTTGTATCAAGTGGGAAAATCTTCATGCTGTATTGTCTTTCCCGAATTCCGGACCGCACGGACTACTCAGAGTGTGACAGACTGCCCTCTTGACTGCATTGTTGCTTCGTCTTGAAAAGGCACAAGTCCTGTACTGGCTTATCAATTCTCCACAAATGACACTGTAGAAAATTTCAGATCTGCTCCGTCTCCAGCCTTTGTCTTGTCCAGCTAATGCTGAGTTCACCAGGTCCTTGAACCATCACCAGTACCTTGAACCATCACCGGTACCCTAAACCATCACTGGTTCCTTGTACCATCACTGGTGTCCTGCAATCATTACCGGTACCTTGAACCCTCACCGGTACTCTGCACCATCACCGGTACCTTGAACCGTCACCGGTACCTTGAACCATCACCGGTACCCTGCACCATCACCGGTACCCTGCACCATCACCGGTACCTTCAACCATCACTGGTACTCTGCACCATCACTAGTACCTTGAACCATCACCGGTACTCTGCACCATCACCAGTACCTTCAACCATCACCGGTACCTTCAACCATCACTGGTACTCTGCACCATCACTAGTACCTTGAACCATCACCGGTACTCTGCACCATCACTGGTACTCTGCACCATCACCGGTACCTTCAACCATCACTGGTACTCTGCACCATCACTAGTACCTTGAACCATCACCGGTACTCTGCACCATCACCAGTACTCTGCACCATCACCGGTACCCTGAACCATCACCGGTACTCTGCACCATCACCGGTACTCTGCACCATCACTAGTACCATCAACCATCGCCGGTACCCTGAATCATCACTGGTACTCTGCACAATCACCGGTACCCTGTATCATCACTCGGATATCCTACATGCTGTCTGTCTGGTCCTGCCCTTGCCCAGCCGTGCTAATGCTCCAATTAGAACATGCCTATATCGCAGCCCAGAAAATTACCCTGTGAAACCCAAATACGAGTGTTAATCAATCACACACATCAGGCATTCTGACTGAGGATTTTATTCAAGAGATCCAGCTCTGAAAACCTGCATGCCTATAAGAAGGTGTGGCAGCCCTTTAGTTTATGGTCTGCTCAGTAACTAGTAATAAACCATTACTAATTCCTAAGTATGCATACTTAAGCATTGTTTTTAGTTACAAGTGATTTACAAGTTCTTCCGTAAAAATTTTGTGAGACAGGAGTAAAATATCTTCTAAATTTAACTGAAATTAATCTTTTTACTCATTAATATATTATTGAATGATGAATAATAGTTTATTAATGATTAAGGAGCAGACCTGAAACCAAAGTGCTACTGGTCATACTAATGCTTGGTGTGGTTTCCCGCCATGAATCCCTAATTTGCTTACTATCTAATTAAGCGTAACACTGAACAGGGTTTACCCTTTTTCGTTAATTTGAGACAGCTTTAGGCTAAATGGAATACCAATGTGCTTACCAAAACATAGGTGACACCATGACCCCCTCATTCTAACTTAGTAGGCTGGTTCAGATTCCCGAATTACACTGGCCTATTATCAACAGTTCAAGTCTAATTTTCCGGAGGCATCCTGCGATTTTTAAGTGTGTATTTCCCGACAGCAGTAATTACCCGCATGCCAGAGTACAGATTCACCTCTTTTGTGTTTTGCATGTACCTCTAAGAGCGCCTCATGTTTGTGGTCACGGCGTACCGACCCAAACCGACCCTGGCTGTTTCTTTCTACTCGGTGGGAGGTGTGAAGACTAACCCCCCAGTATCACTGGACCTGCACTGGAGGCCACAGGTTCCATCTACAGAGGGTCAGCTGTCCAAGCTCTCACCCATGCTCTTTGTAGGCATGGAGTCCTGCCATGGACTCCCATCCCCCCCACCCCCGGCCCCACCCCACGGAGCAGCTGCGGCGAGCATGATAAGATCAAGCAACCTCTGACTTTCTAGAACTTTCTAAATATTTCTCTTTTATGGCTGGTGACCTGCTTTTAGGCCCTCTAGGCAATTCTGACTTCATTACACATACATGTAACTCTACCTTTTTAAGTTTTAGTTACAGCCAGCCAGATTAACATTGGACTGATCATGCTGGCAAGTCTGTGCTTGAAGTGAGTTTCTGTGAGCAGCGTATGGAAGGTGTCCACTGAATAAATTTCTACTGAGATGGTTGTGATTTCACACTCTTTATTTCCAGCTTACATTGACCTTATTGTATGTTCAGATTCCTGTGCTGCTGGTGTCTGTTGGGATCTCTTTAATATGCAAGGCAATTTTGTATTTTAGCACAGTGTTTTGTTTTTTTTTTTAATGCAGTGACAGATTTTTTGAAGCCGTTTTAATATGTATTTTGTCCTAGAGTGTGTTCCTGCATGGTAATATTTGTAGCCAAACAGTTACACGAAAGGAAGAAAAAAATCAAATCCGCTTCAGATGAAATTGGCGTCTGCGAAATGGATACTGAAGCGATGCATATTTTTAGACGTTCCAGTCGGGCCGTGATTTTCTCATAGTGCAGTTCCACAGAATGTTATTCAGAGCGATCTGTTAAATATGCCACAGCGCTTCTGGCTGAAATGGGGGGGGGGGAGCAGGCTTGTTTATTCTGGATCCTCACCTATTTTTCACGCTGCATAAAACAGTGCATCCCAAAGACGTGACGGTTCATCCGGAGAGGCTC